ACTGTCCTTCAAGCATTCATCTAAAATAAGACACAGTTCCACATACCTCTATATCTAGGGCTTGAATAAAAAGTAAATGCACCTCTTTGTTCCTTTATTACTGGCCATACAAAACTAAAGTCTCAAAGCCACATGCCTAGATGTCAAGTGATTTGCATTTTTCTAATGACTAACATATAATAGCCATTATTAAATGGTTGAAATTCCATTCAATAAATAACAAATGAATGGATGGATGATTGAATAAATATATATGTTCTTCTTTGTCATCGGAGTGCTATAAACTTGTTAACTGCCAAATAAATGTTTGATTTTCAATAACTACTTTAGGTAAATACTTAAGGAAGTGGAATTTGGGGACAAGTGTGATATGGCATGAACTGGATCATCAATTAGATAATGAGAGTGAATAAAGAAGTAAATAAAGATGAAAGTTTTATTCTGAAAGATATAATCATTTGCACATCCTTAATGGTACATCTTGTGGTCCAGAATCCTGCATGTGGGTATAGCTCTATGTTGTGAAGGACAAGAGTGCAAATAGGAAGAAAGAAGTAGACTTCTTTACTGGTATCCCTGTTCTCTAGCTCTCTATTAAAATTCCTTAGCAAAAACATGAATGAAGGCTAAGGAGTGGAGAGAGAGAAATAACCCTCCAGGATTCTGGAGAATGATTTTTCTTTGATAAATTATGTTTGATTTCCTAACTAATTTGGTCTCTGCACATTATAAAATTATGGATATGATACAGTTATAATAGAGTAACATGTTTTTCCTAGCATAAACTTATGATTTGAAAACCATGTGAATGAAATATATTTTAACTTTATATAGTTATTTTACAGTGTTTGTTAAGTTTTTGTGGAATCATCCCTGCATTCATGATCACAACTGGTATTTCTTCAGTGCATCTAAGGCAATATATTTGTGTCAAATTCTTTTCTTTATCTCATTTATAGTTTATATGTGTGTGGGATTGGGATACAAATTCATTAGAACTGCCACAATATTTCTAGTACTGTGACCACAAGCTGATGTTAAGTGAAATGTTTGCTTTGAAACAAGTCATAGTAGCTAAATAAGTGGAACATGCCTGAACTATATGATTTTTGGATTGTCCTCGTCTTGCATTCTTGTTAACGATTTTATATTTATCTAAGATTAGATAATTCCTTATTAGGGGAATGTATAATCATGAATGGGTTCCTAAAACTTTTGGACGTATTTGGACATACAAAATAGTATTCTTGCACATTATTTTATGAATTGTTATATTTTCTGCCATAGTGTACATGAACCTTTGGGTTTTTTTCTCAAAGAATAGTCTAATAAGTCTTTAGCGTTACTGAAGGGAATTTGCAATGCCATATGGTGTAGAGAACAGAGGAGCATTTAAAAAATCACCAAAACAAGTGAACAATTTGTGCTTTAACTTTTAAACTAATGTATACAGTACCAAATGTGTGTATTAGTTCATTTTATTGCATGTGTACTGACCTTTATGTGGTTTATTATGTGATAGAATTATATGGCTAGGGCTGAATTCCAGAACTTATATTTCATCAACATCTCTTTAAGTTTAAATCCATCATGTAAATGAAAAGAGTATTGTAGAGTCCAAAAACCTGGGTTTCATTAGACCTTTCTGAGCATTAGTTTCCTTTCTGAGGTTATTCATGACTTCACAGTATTAAAGATTAAATAAATGATTTGAAATATTTATAGTGATTCCATAACTATGTAGAATATAGCCTTCAGCTAGTTAAAACTTGCTTACCCTAGCTTACACATTTACTTAAGCTTAAATGCTTGCCTTATAATTATCATATACAAGTTTAGAGCTACTCAACAGCTATGTAGGATTCTTCTTAACTATTACTTTCTGTGTAAATGAAATAAGTATGAAATATGCTATTTCCAAAAGTTTCAACAGACAACATCATTCAGTAAGTGTACAATTAAAAGGGAATTGCTTTCCTCACTGCCTGACAGTGTACTTGATAGAAATGCTATCTTTCCCACTGCTTTCTTGACCTTGAAAATTACTTACATTTTTTTATATGTAAAGTATATATATATATATATATATATTTTTTTTTTTTTTTTTTTTGTCACC